CAGGGCCCTGGCCGCCTGCCGCGCTGGAGTCTTCCCGTGGGGCGTGCATCCCGCAGGTTTCTTTAAAAAAAAAGAAAAAGAAATTCCCGATGCTCCTGTGGCTACAGTAAATTATTTTTGTTAGTGACTCAACTGCTTGCCTTCTGATGAAGATTACAGAGTCAGCGAGAAATGTTGGATGGGATCTCTGGGGCGTTTCCTCCATTTTGCTGGAGGAAGACTAACGCTGACCCTCCTGAGTTAAAAAGATAAGAGGAGGGAGAAACGAATCCCTTGCGCAAGGTAGAAACCTCAGCCTCTGCAGTTCAGCTACAGTGAATTAGTAAAAAGAAAATAGAAGTTTAAAATGGGGGTGGGGATCTGGGACAGTGGTTGCCTAAAGCCCGTCAGCTGCTGCACGGTGCTGCTCTAACCCCAGCTTTGTGATTGTAATTACAGCTGTGAGCAGCACACTTAGCAGAAATTAGTTTGGGTTTCCTTTGTGGCTTCCCATGAACTTCTGAATGTGTTTTCAAGTCTTTACAGGAACATCTCCCCGAGATGGTTATCGTGTCCAGGCAGGATGAATCACTTGGGCACCTGTTTGTCTCCGCTGTAGGTTGCGCTGCTGATAATGCCCGGAACCCGAGCAGAGGACTGCGGGGTGGGAGAATACCTACACGAAGGTCGCTGCTGCGTATCTTGTCCAGCAGGTAAGCCTTCAGGCAGTTATAGCTGATTAACGGCCATGTTTTTCTTCCCCATGGAGGTGACTGCGTCACTATTGTTTTTGTTACATTTCATCCGGGGAAAGTGTAAGCCCGGTTGGAGCTGTGGTGGCTTCTTAGAGCTGTTAAGGCCGGGCTCCATTTTGAAGCGAGAGTCCCTTGTGCAATAGGTGATTGATGGGGAGAGGTGCCTTGGCAGCAAGCCAGGAAACCTCTGCCCGCTGTTGAGGATGAAGTGTTCAAAGTCGGCTTGCTTTTTTAAAAAAAAAAAAAAACAAAAAAACGAACTTTAGTTAGCACAGTGAATGGGCCTAGGGGAATTCTGATATTTCTGTATCTGTAGCTAAAACTTTGGTTTGCCTTTATTCTCCCTTCCTTGCTTGATGTGTGCAGAGTTAACAAGCTTTGCATCAGGAAGCACCCTGCCCTTACGTAATATTGGAGGGCTGTTGGTTGTATTTAAAAAAAAAATTCAGACAAAGGAGAAGAGAGGTTATTAAAAGCAATTCTCCCTGCGCCCACCATGCCTCCTCAGAGGAGATGGTGCTGGCCGTGTGGGTGACGCTGAGCTGCTGCAGTCAGTCATCCTCGTCCACGGTGTGTTCTGGCAGAGGCCTGGCTGGGTGCCTCGCTTGCCAATGCTCGCTGTCGGAGCAGCAAGCTGCGAATGTGCCTCCTGAGCCTGCTGTGCTGCTCAGGGCACCACTCGTGCGGGGTTGAAATTTCACCAAAAATGGCTTTGTGTTGTAACATCCTGTTAGAGTCCTCTGCCTGTTAAATGATCCCTTTGAGACTGCTGCTGCTGCCGCTTCTCCTCTTCCACAGGTACTTATGTTGCTCAGCACTGCACTGCTTCGCATTTGAGAGGAAGATGTGTCCCTTGCACCGAAGGAGAGGGTTATACTGCCCATGAGAACGGCTTGGAAGAATGCTTGCCGTGCAGACAGTGCAAAGAGGGTACCAAGCACAATTTTGATGAAACCTTAACCCTTTTCCGCCCTTGAATGTGGAAAGCCTGGTCCTCTTGGTTTTGCACTTCCAGTCATTTAGAATATTGAACTTATAAATAAATTGCCTTTATGGCCTGAGTATAATTTTTGCGCAGTTGTAGAGAGTCACAACTTTTATATTTACTTTGTAACTTTTATTTTTAGATCAGATAACTTTGAGACCCTGTACTCTGATGCGTGATACTGAATGCCAATGCAAACAAGGGTATTTTTGCCCTGCCGAGGGCTGTGAAATATGTCAGAGATGCAGTACAATGTAAGTCAAAGTGACTGTTTTCCTTCTAGGGAAAGGAGCTGTGGCCCAGTCTGTGCCAATACCTAACATGTGTTATTAGGCTGTAAATAATTGCCCTAAAGCCAAATGGCATTATTCATGCATTTAAATTTTTAGGTGTCAGAATACATGAGGTTGAGACCTAGAAAGATACAGATTTTGGTATTGTTGTGCTTGTTCCTTATGGCTGTAAGCTTACACTTTTCTTGTCTTCAGATTAGTACTTCCCCATGTACACACTTGAATGAGCTTTGTAGCAGCCAGTCCAAAATTTCAGGAGGTAGAACCACCTGTTGAAGGAAACTAACTGTGCATGAATAATGCATCTACTCTGTGGGTTTTTTCTCCCCTGCTACTTAGAGGCTAACACACATGAGCTTTATCTGCTTTGCTTCTGTTTAATCTTGTAGTATTATCTTGGGTTGTTTAAAGGTGCACTTCTAACAAAGTTACCTGTTTATGCATGTTCTGTTCATGTCTCTAAGCTCAGCCTGGAAAAAAAACCAGGCCTGGGCAGACCTGCATATTGCTCTGGAAATGTTGATACAACCCTGTGTTGCCATCCACTTCAGGTGTCCGGAAGGGAAAGAAATTGTGCAGAACTGCAATGCTACTATGGACCTAGGATGTGGCTTACCCGATCAAGGTCTGGTACACAAATACCACTCAGCTTGGTCTGTTGGGTCTTGTGGCTTCAGGCTTAACACCACCAGAGCAGTCTGTAAAACAGTGGTTTGAACTACTGTAACATGTTTAAGAGCTTCTGTGTTTTGGTCTGGGAATTACTTGCTAGGGACAAGTTCTTAAAGGGGGTTGGAGTGACAAACCATCTTATATTTCATTCAGTGAAAAGCTACGTATGTTGCCAGGGTTTTCACAGTTGCAACAGTGACACTGTTGAAAGTTATGGATAGTGTGAAGATTTCCTTCATGTTTTCTATGTCTAAGCAGCTGTGTATGGAGCAGCTTTCTCTTCTGCTGGTAGATAGCTTCTGTGAGACTAGAGAAACAAGGAATGGACACTATCAGTGCTACAGCACCTGAAACTCACTGTCATCTTTTGCATACTTGTTTTCCCCTCTTCTTAAGTATCTCTTCAGAAAGCTGCTCTGCACAGAACCTCCTGCTGCCTTTGGGATAATGATGTGTAGTGTGAATGAGTACTTGCACGTTCAGGTCAGCTGATAGTCCCAGTGCCTCTTCCAGGACAAGCTAGCTGGGCTGTTGTACTAGTGCTGAGCTTAGGTTGTTCTCTAGGACAGCAGGGAAGACTTGCACTTGAGAATATCTTGTTTGGGGACTGCTTCAGTACTAATTTTATTCCTTTTTTCCTTCGCAGGAAGCACAGCTCTTGTTTGGATTATTGTCATTGTTGTAGTGGCTGCTGTTTTTTTGCTGTTCTTTGTAATTAGAAGGTTGAAGAGTGATAAAGGTAACTGCTTGATTACTATCTGTAAACTTTCCAGAACTAGGCAAAGCATGCACTAAGGCTATCCCTGGTTTTTGTGTTAAGTTATAGGGGACCTGTTTAAGCTCTAGCTTATTTAGTATGTGATTCAATTAAGTATAATGGAGACTAGTTTTGTTTAGTAAATACAATGCATAACTTTAACTATGAGCTTTCTTACAGATGCCTTTGCTTCAAAGTAAGATTAGTGTAAGGTCCTTTAAAAGGATCTTTCGTACCTACTTGCATTGTATTGGGGAAGAGTGAGAAAAATCTGTGTGTGAGCTCAGACATGGGGCAAGAATTAGCAAGTAATTAGATCATTACTTTCATTCACTGTGTTTGGCTGTGGAGATTTTTTTCTACAAATTGTTTCCCTTTCATTGTTTGAGCCTCCTCACATGACTGTTAGGTTGATAAGTCCTGTGTGAATTCATTTTATATTTTTAGTGGAAATGGAGATGTTTTTCTGAGAAACTTTTCTTTCTACTACTGCATATTAAAGTGTTTTGCAACTAGTTTAGATAGACAATGTTGAAAATTGTTCTGAATTTTGAATGTTAACTTTGTTCAAATCATGTCTTACTGATTGTATTGCAGTAAAGACAATTTCCACCTTCTCTTTTGTATTGCAATAGCCCCCAGACAGGCTAAGAAGCATAAGCTGGAGGAGGAGAGGTTGAAAGAGTGGCTTAAAAGCCAAACTGCATCTTGCTGTCTGTATCTTACTAAGTGGGACCCTTCAGCCCCTGTATGAAGGCAGTGTGCTGTTGGTGGAAGATAAGGATAGTACTCTCATGAAATGTATGACAGATCAAGGAAACTAAATGGCTTGTATTAGAGCTTTGGTTTGTGTTACGAGTCTGTCTACTGCACATAAATCTTGTGTGAATTCAGCTATGTTTAAGTTGCTGCAATTCTTAAAAGTGTCTTAGACAATTATCTTGTTTTCCAGCTACTTCAACTGATAAAGATGTAGAGAAAGGTCTGGTAAGTCTATGATGGATCAAGTGTTTCATCTCTGTTTTGTGCAGCTTAATTGCACACTGCTTGATTGTACCTGATACACAGCTTTCAATTTTTGTCTCGTCGTAGACCTCTGCTAGGATGCATTCCTGTGATGCAACAAGTCGTGATTAATACAGGGCCAGATGTTAGCAAGGGCCTGATGCATTCATTAACTGCATGTGACCACTGCAGTTGGCCTTTCCAGTATTTGCCTTGGAAACATTCCAGAGCCTGTGGCCAGGTTGTTTTGAAAGTGGAAAAAAATTAGGCTAAGTGCAAGCTTTCACTTCAAACTCTCTCCAAGTGATGCCTTGATCCACTTAGTTCTTTGCTGCTTCATGCGTGTATTCTCTGGGCAGTGTCAGCTATCGCTTCCCTGCATGGTGGTGTTCTAGCTTTCCTTGCATTTTGACTACAACATTATTTGTTCATAAAACTTGCTTCTCTTGACCCAGCAAAGTGACTGAGTCTTCCTGCTTTTGGGCTCATGTCACAAGCTACAGACCAGGACCTGGCAGACTAACTTCTTGGTCATAGACAGTCCTGTAAGACAAGGGGTTTGGGGCTCAGAGCACACCAGTGCAGAATTACATCCCTGAAAAGGGTTTGCCAAGCTAAGGCTGGCTGCTGGCATATGTTCTGCTTTAAAGCTAGGTTCACCCTGGCCTCCTGTAGTCAAACACTATTTTGGAACCTTACTGTTTCAGTCTAAAAAGGTTATTGCTAGTCTAGCATTTTGCAAGCTAAATACAGGCTTGTATTGAGCTAGTCTAGCTTTAGCTTCTCTATTTAGAAGCTACACTCCTAACAGCATGGTGAGGCAAAAATGAGCTCAGCCTTCACTAGTATAGTTAATGATGTGTAACACCAAGCTGTAAAACAAATGTTTGTCTTGATGAAGACCTGGGAAAAGCATCCAGACTCCTCTTGCAGCATGTGTAGGGCACCTTCTTCTCCCTGCTGCCTTTCTTGTCCCCCACCCAATGCACACACTACTTGCTCAGTGCGTGAGCTCTTGTGTAATCTCACTAGTTAAACATTTCAAGTAATTAAATGCATCTTAATTATGTCACAAATACTTGAAGACTGAAGAAACAGAATTGAAAGATCTGTTAAAAACATCACCTTAACCTCTTCTCTTTTTTTTAAGGTCCATAAGTGGCTCAAATATGTGAATCACCCATGGGTTTTTGTTGGGTTGTGTCTCCCCCCACGTGCTGGCCAGATTCACAGTGCTTCGTGTATTCGTAGAAGCTGATGAAGAAACATGACAGAAAACCTGGTCAAAGTGCTGTAGCATAGGAATAGGCAAATATAACATCTCTTAAATTTGAATAAAATGGTAGTAGAATAACGCAGTCACAAATCAGTGAATGGTGATGCTTAGCTCTGACCTAAGAGTTGTCACAGACTTCAGTTGCAATGTCTGCACACTTGGAGTGTTCATGCTACTGTAACAAAGAGCTTATTTGCTAAGGAGAGTTACACTGATGCAGTCCTGAGACCAGGCATTTTGGCACTGACACGCTGTCTTTTCCAAAGTACCAGCAAATTTTCACTGCTGTAAAAAACACGAACCAAAAAAACAACAAAAAAAAATACTGCTGCTGCTTTATTTCATTCCAAAATACAGTGGCAGCTATTGGTCAGCCATGCTGTGTACCTTCAGTGGCTTGGTTACCTGTTTATGAACTATTCTGTATAAATAGGATCAACTTGTTTAACCTGTTTGTACCCTTAAACAGAAAGTAGATTCAATGAGGATGATGTACAACTACATGTGTAATGCATGGGGTGGTTGCCCTTGCATCCCTGCTTACATATGTTGGTCATGTGGTGGTGTCACACATGGGTTACTGACCTTGTGCAAACAGAAATCACACTGGCTTACGTTCATGGGAGAACTGTACCTTAACAAACACAAGTCTCATTGGGAAAACAGTCACTCCTGACCCTCATTTTTCCACCTTAAAAAAAAAAAATTCCTAAAGCGTTCCAGTTTTAGCACTAGCTGATATGCTGGATAGATGCTGGTCTGCTTTGTACTTGTACTGTTCTTGATGAGGTGGAGGTATACTCCCTGGCATGTGCTTGTTTAATGTATTGACAATGCTAAAAATGATGCAGCCCTTCTTGCTTGCTTCCCTCTTTGTCACCTTACAAAAGCTATGCAATGTGCACTCACGCTCACTGGCTTCTTTCAACTGATTTAGTTTGTGAATCTGCGAGAAAAACTAACCCAGCCAAAAAAAGCCCAAGCTAGTGTACTTATGTGGAGTTGATAGGCTATTATCAGCTTGACAAAAGCTCTGAGAGCATCAGCCTTGATACAGTGATAGGCTTGAGGCCCCTGTTGCTGTTAAGTCAGTTCAGGTGCAGCAAGGCAATTTAATTTCCTCCTGCCTCAGGAGGGGTGCATACCTTCCATACCTAGAGAGGAGCAAGCAGCAATACACACTAGTGAAAACATTAGGGAAAGTTTGTTCTGTAGGTAGCCTGTGAGCCTTACCCTGCAGTCTGGTGGGAGCAGGCCAGCCAGCGAATCAGAGAGTTTATGCTCTGAAACCATTTGAAATCCAAGTCTATAAAGGCTGTAACTTTTGCATGTCTGTAACTTTGCCGAATTAGCAGCTCTCCTATTATTTCTCTGATATCTGGTGACTTCAAGTATTCTGTTTTCTTCCTCCAGACTGTCCTTGAAGGCCTACCCATGGAACACCTCTTAAAATATGTTCTTATTCTTCACAGGATTCTGAGGGTGGTACTGAAAGCCTCATTTTACCACAAGTGGTGACACCTGCAAATAACACAGCCAACCCAGAGGGTGAGAATTCGGGTGAGAGCCCAGAGCACCAAGCGCAAACCAACATTAACTTGGAAGTAAAAACCACATCACCAGAGGAAAACAGTGTTGCGCTTTCTGAGCGGGGCACCCTCCTGCGCAGGGGCTGGAGGTGCCATGTGAAAAGGTGCTGGAGGAGGATTGCAGAGTCTTCACTACCAGCAAAAACTGGGCAGAATCCTGCTTTTCATCAGAACACCCCATCTAATGTACCAAGTGGTAGGATGCCAGTAAATCGTATGGTAAGTTCATGTGTGTGAAATTATCATTGTATTTTGTCTGATACACGTGTAATTTCAGTTGAGTTCTTAACTATTCCTTGAGAGAGAGATGTGGTTTTCAGGCAGAACAATAGCAAAGAGGAGGCTTTGCCTTAAAGATTAGCAGAACGTATGGGAAGTGATATCTTGGGAAACCCAACCTCAGTCCCTCATTTAATCTGCTCTGCCCCTCACCTCCCTGTTCAATATTTACACAGAAGCTATTCTTTTGCAATAGCAGCAAATGTGTTACCTTGTGGTTTCACTTTGGAGCTAGTAGCATGGCTGTTTCAGCATGCAATTTTCTTTACTCAACTACTTTCAGCTGTGCTGTGAAATTTGCCACCTCCCCTTACTGGCCTGTGTGCTGCGGAAGCAAGCTGTCAAGTAGCTCAGGAATAATCATGAGTGGAGTGCTCTGATATGTTGGGGTAACGGTCCAACTTTGTTTTACAGGTACGAGAACCAAAGTGTCGAATAATTGTTAAAGATCTCTCTCAAAAAGGTAAGTATTCCAGAAGTTTGCAGTACTTGGAATTTGGTTCTTTTCCTGTTGACTTCAGTCTACTTTAGGAATAGTGTAGGGAGGCTAATGAATGTTGCTTAGAGCTATCAGGCTTTCAGTTTATCATAAAATATGCTGAAAGAGAATTATTACTACATTTGAGAGAAGTTGTAATCCCTGTGGCGAATTGTTCTACTTTAAAGCATGGCTTTTCTGCACAGGAGTACAGTGCAGTCATGCTTTTAGGAATGGTACAAAATTTTTTTGCATGTTTTAAACAAGCCTGCATTGTAGCAGTGTACTCTGCCTTAATGAGTGAGGTGTAGGTCAGAGCAGGAGATCTTTCTGTCAAATGTCCGCTCACATGGAAGACCGCATTGAATCCCCATACATCTACCTGTACCCAGCAAGTTGATGCACTGGATGTCCAAGCGACGGGTTTTGCTCATGATGCTCTTGGTGTGGCAAACCTATACCAGTAGTGTAGTGAAGCCATTAAAGCCTACTGTTGAGTAGCCCTATAAAGCTTAAGTGAAGACGTGCAGGCCAATGAAACCTTCCTCAAAACCACCTTTACTGAATGGTGTCTCGTCTTAAGAGACTACTTTTGAGATACGTAGACTGATACCTTTAGCTTCTTTCAAGATCACTCAGTAGGAAACCTAGTTGTCCTGCTGCTTCTTAGGTGCCAAACCTGGCCTTGCTGCTGCTGCTGTTTGGTCTGTGCATGTATTGGCTGGCTGAAAATTAATGGGAAAGTGTGTATGTTAGCTATGAAAAAAGTCTGTATTTTAAAACCTAAGCTGATGTGTGATGTTTTTATTTTTTCTTTCAGAACTGAGAGATAGCTTTTGGGCCTTTATAAATGAAGTACCACCAAAAAAATGGAAGCAGCTCATGAGAACTCATCTGCATGAAAATGCTATTGTTAAAATTATTTATGACTTTCCTAATGATACAGAAGAGCAATCTTACCAGATGCTTCTCATCTGGAAAAACACACTGGGAGAGAAACAATCTATTATTAAGTTACTGGAGGAGCTATGGTATGTAGATACCAAGGCTTATGATAACGTATTGAACACTTTAAAAAGTAATAACATTATAAGTAAATTAGAAGCTACAGAGTAATATTTACGATGAAATTAAAAAATGCTCCTGTGTACATATATATGTCTCAAACTTCCTGTAAATGAGGACATCAACAAACTGCTTGTAAAAGTGATGGCATGGACTTGATATCCTCCTCACCTTTGTGCGGGCAGCTGCAAGTGATTTAACGCCGTTGGTGTTAACACGGACTCCGGTTGTGATGTTCACTAAGGCCTTTTGAGTTGTGCGGTGCTAAACTCAGGCGCCGGATGACAGCTTGAGAGCGAGGAGCTCCAGCTCGCGCTTCCCTTCGTGTGAGGCAGGACTGTTCTGTTCGAGCCCGGGCGGTGGGAATGAAGAGGCTGCTGCTATTTTTGAGAGGATCGCAATGCTTTGATTCTGACACGTTTTGTTTTGTATCGGTATGCCCAGAACTGTTATGTTTGAAGCACAGCAATAAAAGCCGGGCTCAGCCAGAAGCTGGGGTTGACTCTTGGACCTTCTTGTCTGGTGCTGGGAGGTGTGAGGGGACCCCGTTCCCGCTCGGTTTTTGGGGCCGCCCGGCTGTGGTAAATCCTC